AGAGGCAGGCTGGGGGATGTGGAGCCCGTGGGGGGGTGGGGCACCTACTGGGGCCAGGGAAGGGGGTCCTGTCCTTGGGATCCTGCCTAAACAGGCCTGGGGCAATGGGGTGATGGGGGAGGCGGGGCAAGGATAAAGGGGCTCCGTGGAGGAAGTGGGGAAAAGAAGACACCCCGGTTGAAGCGCTTCATCAAGGGTCTAGGATGGATGGCAGGGCAAGGAGGTGGAGGAAGGAACGAGCCAGGGCATGGGGAGACATGGAAAGGCACCCCTGTGACCCCTTTCAGGGGACTTGGGAACCTGGGCACTTATCCTGTTAGGGGCCACATCCCAGCCCACCCCACCACAGCCTAGGGGGACCCTGGCCTGAGTGCAGACCTAGACACCAAGGGCACTTAGGTAGGGGTGAGGCTGGGGGCAGCAGGCACAAGACCCTGGCCTGAGTGCAGACCTAGACACCAAGGGCACTTAGGTAGGGGTGAGGCTGGGGGCAGCAGCTCCAATGCAGAGTCCCTGTCCCTTCCTCCACTCAGCCCTGGCATCGGTCCCCATCAGACCAAGTGTCCTCCTGGTGAGCACGCCATTTCCCAAGATAAGGACTCAGACATTGCTACTTTTCTAGCACCTTAGCTCATTTTATGCAAGAAATTTTGTAAGTTAAGAAAGGTATGTTTTGTATAAACTTTCATTACCTCTGGGATACATAGCTCCGAAAATGCCTGGTGGTCACCTAACTCTATATCTCTACCAACACACTCGGTTTTACAAAACCCCCTCAAAATTGCATAAGATGTACTCTACAAAACACTGATAGGCGGGACCAGCAGTTAGCGTAATGGCTATCTCTCTGGACTCCCACTTAGTCAACCGCGGTTCGCGTCCCAGACCCGGTGGCTTAAAACTCACACCAGGCTGGGAACCAGCGTAATGGCTATGTTGCTGGACTCCCACGTAGAGAAGGGATTGCGGCATGGCCATCCCCCGTGGGGGATGATTTCTTGCTTTCAGTCTCTCTGTCTCTCTCTGTCTGTTTGGCAAGCGCATGCGCCCCATAGCAAAAACCAAAACCTCTCAAAAAAAATTAAAAAAACAAAAACCACTGAGAGGCTGCCATTTCATTTCAATTAAGACATCATAATATCCATTTAGGTACATACTAAATTTCATCCAAATTAACCAGTTTCCTTAAAGACTATGTTGGGGAACCCACAGCATATGCTTTAAATATGTACACTGCTTAAATGTAAATAAATTTCAAAAATTAATTTAATTTTTTTTTTTTAAAAAAAAGGAAAGGAGGGAACCAGCCGTT